TTAAGGCATATTTCAAGAGAATATTATTTCTTAATCTTAGCCAACGTGTTTTCCAGCGTCTTTTTAACGGCATAATTTCGCCAATGTTTCCGTTACGCGTTTTTTTTCCATTTTTTTTTCACAATTAAGACAATTTTTTTCATATAGATCTGTCTGCAGACGTCTGTTGTACTAGTTGCCATAGGTGATTAAGTGTTTTCGTTCAGTTTTTCTTTTCAGAATATTTTATTAGTAAGACAGCTTTGGCAATGCCGCCTAATTTAGTGTACTTGTTTACGAGTAATATCAGTATTCAAGGGTATGCATCACGTGCTTGAGCAAAGTTTGACTAATGGTCGCGTTTCGCCGGTCACGTCCTTCAAGTCGCGGGCTTTAGAAAGATTTGTTTTCGTGTTATTTGTTTTGGAGGTGCTCATGCATGATGTACCGCAATACTACAATATTTAAGCGTTAAATTCACTAGTTTCACGACACACTATACAACATGGTGTCCACACCTCAAAAAAGACCTAAACGTCGTAGAGAAAGTACAACGCACAACGTCTAAAATTCTTTGAATGACCACCTCTACATCGATGAAGATTATTTTCTTCGGTTACTGAGTGTTATAAGACAATAAACAGAATTAATGGTATGGACTCCTTACTCCACGTTAGTGAGGTGGGGCTTAGCTAGATATTTTGGTTTGAGTTAAAGTATCAACCCAGTCAGAACTGGTCTGATATGGCACGGCATCTAATATTAGCAGTGCGTTAACTACGGTTATTTATTTATTTATTTGCTTCTCTACTTATTTCTAGATACACTGAATTTCATTTCTAATTTAAACAAAATGACTTGCTCGAGCCCCAAACAAGACTAATGGGGTACCCATTTTCTTTTTAACTCGCAACAATAGTCACCTGCTCCATCTTTCTCAGGAGGTCTTGCTAGTTTGTTATGCAGTCGAACCAGTATTAACCTTTTGACTCCCAAGATCTGATTGGTAATTCTCCTCTTTAGCTTCTAAACATTTCCTTGTAAAGTGGTTATGAGGATTTGGTTTTAGATCAAGATAACGAATTCTACCTGATAAGTTTGAATATTCTCATTAGCTGTTTGCTGAATAATGTAAGGATATTATAGCAAGAAGTTTCATGTTGATCACCCCTGGGAGTTAAAGGGTTAAGCGGTCACCCACGGGGGATGGCCGCTTAATACAGGTTCGACAGATAAGGGGCATCATAAAAACGATACACAATGCCATTCTATGCCATAATTGTGACTTCATGTGTAGGATCTCGCTCAAAAATGCTACTTACTTTGATTTTTGGGGAGAAATATGGATTAAAAATTACCTGAAATAATATTCCTAGTTCTATTTGAATGGTTTGGCTTTGAGTGATCGTTCAATACGGGTGGCAGGCTAAACAAACAGGCCTTTGGGACTTAGTGCAAGGTGACCGCTACCGCTGAATAGAGGTAAAAACCACAATGATTGAGGGGAAACAAATTCAGGACTTTGGATCACTGAATTCAGTGCCGCTCAATTTCAGGTTCGACCATATTGCCTCTCTGTATAATCTTCTAACAGTTATTACAATGATCTAAACAAGTTTTCATGCTCAATATTTCATATCTGATGAAATCATCGTTAACTAATAGGAAATGGAATCTAACTAAATGCAGATCGACATCTTTCATAACTTGCGATGAATATAAAGGGATTGGTTGTAAATTGGATAGGCATCTTCATTGCTGATAAATTTAGTGAGAATGTTTAATTTACAGAAATAAAACTGACTTGGTGGAAGAGCGGCGAACTATTTATTAATGCGAATTGTATTCATCCACCGCCCGTCGTCTGTGAAATAGTGTATCTAGGACAAGCATACAAATGTTTGTTTAAGAACATTCTGGTGCCTGTATTGTTCTATGGAAAGTCTGTCGGTAAAGTTTACCATTAATTTGAAAAAAAAAATGCCTCTTAAAAGGCGCAACTTGCATTGACAGACGCAACTTGAAAGGTGCGACCCACGACTTGAAAGGTACAACTAGCGATACGCGACCATCTGTCAAACTCACTTAAGCAGTGTTGACCAAAAAGGAGGGAACAAGGTAAATGCGATGCTAGGGTAAATACACATCCTAAATTCGGTTGATTTAACACTTTTCTGAAAACATGCCACTGAAGAAAACTTCTTAAAGGCGATGTTTTATACAATGTAGGGCGAAAAAGAAAATATTCTTTAAAGATGCGTTGGATACGAGATGGTGAATAACCAAAGAAGCGCGTAGCGCCGAGTTGGCCATAACCAATTTCACATCCAACAAGCGCGAATGGCATAATTGTTTTATTGAATCTTCCACTTACAAAATTTCTTTAATAATTATGGTGTTTTGCTGAATGATAGCGAACGGAAAAAAAACAATATCATGACCACTTGAACGGACTTTAAAGGTGAGCTTTTATAACTTAAGGTCACGCATTTCAATTTCAATACAAAACTTGCAATTCATTAAATTTTGAAGGTAACCGGCTGTTCTTTCTGTTACAGCAACGTTATAATACTCTATACAATAAAATGTTAATGTCAATTGCAAAATTTTTAAGGGAAACTTCAAAGATACGCATTGTTCAACAGTGTTATATTGTTCTAAGTGACTTTTACTTTTGTCACCGAGATGACATTGACTACTACTTGCTCCAATGCACGGGAGAAGTGTTTGCTACTACTCAAAACTAAATTCAGCTTTTCAACACTTGGGTGAATGATTTATTATTAAAGCTAACTCGGTATGTATAAACAAAAGCTTACATTTTGCGAGAATATATGCGCGGATATTTGTCCGCGGACATTATTTGTTCCGCGATGCGGAGAGTCAGTGAAACAAATCACTAAACTTTCTCTGTCACAAATGTTATCGCAAAATGTAACCAAATCATATTTCGAATTTAGCAGTAAAAGCTGCTTAGTTTTCCGTTGCTTACGTTAAAATATTTTCAAACCGAATTTATTGGCTGTTTCGGTGATATGGGAGTCGCATTTTCTATTGTAATTCTGTTATTTCTTTAATCGTAAGCTCTCACGCAAACCTATTTTTTCCTCCATTGCTTCGCGGCTTTGACGTTGGATATGAGATGTCGGAGCTAAGTTATGGCTCGGGGCTAGGTAACAAGCTCATAACCTGGCTCCGTTTAGCCAATCAGATGGCTAGAAATCCAATAACTGTTCTCCAGTTTTCACCAACTTCGGATACATTTTCAGTTTTAGTTGGGGAATATTCGGTGATGCATTCAGACCAAACCCGTGCGAAAAAGATCTTTGTTGGATTATGCGGGCTGATAACAGAGTTCAGTGAACCAATTAGAACACTAGAAATGCAATATTTAATAATTAAAAACTGTTCACTGTGGTGGAGGTGGCTTGTGGTGGAGGTGGCTAGTGGTGGAGGTGGCTAGTGATGGACATTTATCAATCAGAGCGCGCCTTCAATGCTATCCACTGTTTAAGTATATGCTAATACCCTATATAATAATGTACATGAAAAAATTACGCGGTCTGATTGGCTGAATACGAGTGCATTTTTCATGCCACACAAGTGCAAAGTTGTAGCACGAGTTAGGAGTGCAAATTACAAATAGCGGGCGCGCGGTAGCAAAATTTCGTCTGTCTTGACTTTTTGTGATGCGTTTTCCATGTCAGTTATTGACAAGAAACAACATGATTTCGAGTGCAATTTGGTGAAAAAGCACTAGTATCGGGCTGACAAAATTTGTTTGGTTCCACCTCTCAACAAAATTTGCCTACCCCAGATTTTCAATTTGTCAATCGTGGGCGCACTGAATAAAATAACAAAATATTTGTTAACCACAAAGTGTCAATCACAAGGATATACAAATTGAGCAGTACTTGGACCTCGAGATGCAGTTGAAACTTGGGAGCCATGACCGTTGTATTCTGAGTGTCCTGATCGTCTTGCAGCATCCTGAGGTACGATTCTCCCATCTTCACCGTTTGATTGCCACTCATATTTTTGCGGGCTACTGCCTGAAAGACTCGCACTTGAGAGGTGAAATTAATTTCCCGATTGACGTTTTCTTTCAAATCATGGCTATCACGCCTGACAAATATTTGTCTTACTTCGAGGTAGGACAAAGACGCCTTTGAAGATTAGTAAAGGCTTAGAAAAATTTTGTGGGACAAAAAAATCATCGTGCGCTTGGTGATCATGATCGACTGATCGATTCAGAATTTAACGAGAAAAGACTAAGTTCTTCCTTTTACAAACTTGGCACAGAAGGAAGTATACTGATTGGGATCAACTTCTAACCTTTAAATATTAATTGTGAATGACTAAAAATGGAAGATTTTGACCGTCAACCTTTCAAAAGGTGGCTAATAATAGCTGTTATTTCTTATAAGAACAAAAATTATCCTGTACATGAAGCTTTGGCTACAATGCGCACAAAATACATTTATGTTCAGGTCCTTTGATTCATTCATACAACTTAAGGACACTACTGACTTTCTTCCACTTCGTCCGACTTGTACTCACCATTTCAGTTTGCTGAAAACAAACTTTTCATCAAAAATTGCTTCATTAAAGTTTTCAAGAGTAAAAATTGTATTATTTTATGAGGTACATTGGATTTGGAATAAAATCTACCGTCAAATGGCCAACAATTAAACTGTGTTCTGTCAAAACTGCCTATTTTTGATTGACAACATCGCGTTCGTTTCTGATCTTATCTACCTTTAGCTGATAATCAAGTGCGAGTACGATTTCCTCGTTGACGTAGCTGAACGATTTGTTTCGAAAATAGTAAATCTTCCTCAAACAACCTCTGTGTGAACACTGATACAGCTTCGCTTCGGTCTAATTTTGAAGAAGTATTTGGCGGTAATCAGTTTTTCACATCCTAACATTTCTTTTTCTTTAGTTAATACAGATCCTGTTCAAAATTAAACCACACGTGTCAGAGGATCAAAGCAAGGGAATAAAAAGTTCAAATAAAGATGAATGCCTATAACTTGTCAATTCAGGCTCCAAGCACATCGCAAACGATGCTCGCCAGCCAAGAACCGCAGCTCCGTCCAAATGATACAGGTCTTATTGTATATATCGTTGTCATGGCGGTCATCTTAGCAGTGGGTTTTGTTGGCAACGTGCTGACAATGTTAGTCTTAAGTTGCCACGAACACAAAAACAAGAACATCACCCCATTCATGATGAATCTCGCGATCGCTGACATCATTATTATCGTTTTTGGATATCCAGTGGTTGTCGCAGCCAACTTTACCTCCTCCGGGCTCAACGTTCGTAACAGTCGGACCCAGTGCATTTGGTCAGGATTTATCAATGGCTCAGTTGGTATCGCCTCCATTGCCAACTTGACTGCGATGAGTCTGGTAATGCATTCTGTCATTAGCAAGGTCAGCAACAAAACAAAAATCCCCAGATGCAAGGTGGCATTCATCATTATCCTTACGTGGGTGTACGGAGTGATGGCCATGGTTCCGCCGTTAGTGGGCTGGAACGAATTCGTCCCAGGCGCCTCTGGTATCAGCTGCTGTCCGAACTGGTCGCCCGAAACAAAAGCTGGAGTGGCGTACAATACATTGTTGGTTTTCGTTGGCTTCGTTCTGCCACTAAGCGTCATTATTTACTCTTATCACAGAATATACAGGTCAGTGAACAATATTTGTTAGGGGTAATTATTATAGGCAATTATTATACTCGACCGATGCTGCTTACCACAATTTCGACAAGCAATTTGTGGTCTTGCGGTCTGATCGAAATATCCTTTCGATATATATTTCTTAACATTTTTCCCACGAGAAATACACTAGCAATGAATGATCAACATCCAGAACGTGGACTTTATTTTATGAAACACAGAAGTTCATGGTCAAAAAAAAAAAACTACCTGATTCCATCAGGACAAAAAATTGAGTGAATCATGTTGCTTTCCGCAACGGAAATCAAAGATTAAAGAAGGTATCACATATAGTCTGGGAACAAATGAAATAAAAGAAAAAAAAAGAAAAAGAGACGAGGAAAAAAAATGACATGAACTTTACCTGGAAAGCGGATCATAAGGTTGCCATCGACTTCATTTTGCATCTATTGGTCGATAGGGTGGAACTAACTCAAAGAAAGTTAAATAGATATGTGAGGGAAAACCAAAACAATACAGAACTGCTTTCGACAGGATCCTTTACTTTGCAGGTATATCCGTGCACAGCAACCAACGATTGGAAGCGCTTCGATTCAAGTCATCCGAAGAAAATCCGAAATCAAAGTTGTGCGCATGACTGCCATGTCAATTGCGGCCTTCGTCTTGAGCTGGTCTCCGTACGCTATCGTCAGTATCGTGGCCACCATTCGGGGTACTAATGTACTCACACCTGACTTGGCAGAAATCCCGGATCTTCTAGCCAAGGCCTGGGTTATCTACAATCCCATCGTGTACACAGCAATGAACGAAAGATTCCGTAAAACCCTGAAGCGCATCGTTCCAATTCGTTGCACCTTCCGCAAGGGAACAAATCCATTCGGAAAAAAAATGTCGCCCACGGTGGAATCACGCCCCACGCATGCGTGCACAATACCTTATCCACCGAGGGGTAGAACCCAAAGTGTGGTGCATTCAGGAGGAGCCGTCAGTGATGATGAACACTCATCAAGAGCTTTTCTCAACAGACAGTGGCCGGTTCCTGTTTGAAATCGGAGCTGAAGTCGTAGTGGAGAGAAAGTCAGCTGGTCCATGGGATATTGCACAGCAAACACCTTTATTTGTTTATATTTTTCATTGGCTTTTATATATCGTCTATAATTCTAACCAGCTTTCGATAGTGAGGACTAAGACAAATGACGCTCTGGAGACGAAAACTTCTTAAGATATTCAAAGCATGGTCACGTGGTGAGTCGTCCACCGCTTTGGCGGAACGCCCGCAAGGGACAGGCCAAGCAAAATCTTTGAGAACGAGATTGCAAACATTTGTTAATGTGTCAATTTTCAAGGTCGGATTTAGAACCAATGGCAATGCTCTTTTGATAAGTTGTGGGAGCCTACTTTGTTCGTTGAAAAATATATTTTTTTTTAAATTTAAGCGACCGGAAGTCAATGTTACTTCCGACCGCCATAACAGCAAAACGTGAATCACATGTGCAACGCTTTTCGACCGAAGCTGATTGAAAATTCAACTATGAGCAATTTACACAGCTGTACCTGAATATTTACTCGCGATTCAGTAATTTCCGATCTAAGGAAGGTTCAAAGACAAGATTAGCATTCAAGAGTGTTTGAACTAGCTCAAGATCGACAAGCGAAAAAGATGTGCACAGTTTGTTGAAGTGTTCTGTTTAACTGGAACGAGCAAAGTGATCAAGGACAGCTTTCGTTTAAATTCCTCGCTCCAAGTGTAGAAAGTTGCAAGTTACAAACTTACCGAGACAAGTTTTTTGAAATATTTATAAAGCTTCAAGCCTATCCAGAAGCGTTGTGGATATTTACCAATGTTTGCTGTGTGGTGGCAAACGGGTAAAACAAATATCATAAGTACTCGAAAAGACTTTAAAGGCGAGCTTTGTAATTTAAAGTCCTTGTGTAGTGCAGAAATTTCGATACAAAATTTAAAGTCATCCTGAAATTTTGAAGGTAACTGGCTGTTCTTTCTGTTTGGCAGCGTGATGCTTTTTCTAGAGTAAAAACTTTAATGTCAAGTGCAATTTTTTTCTTAAGTGAAACTTCAAAGATAAGTACCTTTCTATGATGTTTTATGGTTTTCAGTGGGTTTTACCTTAACTACCGAGATGACATTAGCTAGTGTTCGTTTACTTTATTTCCAATGCACGGGAGAAGTGTTTGCTTCCAGCCGAAAGTAAACTCAGCTTTGTAATACTAGGGTGATTCATTTTCCACAAAAGATGATTCGGCATATGTAAACAATAGCCTTTATTTTGTTGTTCCGAGAAGCGAATGGTTTTCCGAAAGCGATGTTCGAAGAAATCTGTGAGCTTGAATCTAATCTTAAACGAACATCTATATCGTAGTAGGCGTAAGGTTCGAAAATTGGGGAATATCACACGGGGCATATTTTGTGATGTTCGCCAGTTTAAGCTGAGGAATACTCGATCACGTGAAGCGTGTAGATCAGTGACGCACGAGAAAAAAATATTTGATAGATTATAACCCGCGACATTGCAAAGTTATTTCATTCATTAAAAAAGCTTGTTTGACAGGTTGGCTACGCTTATGTTGGAATTGTATCAAAGGAGAAAAGAGGCAGACTTTTACCATTGTTCTTGGTTCACAGCCTTCATCAAATTTTTTTCTTCTTCTCTTTCTATACAGAAATACCCACTTACAAACAAACAAACAAACAAACAAACAAAAAAAACAAGCATGCGTGTCTGCCGTCATGTATGAAGGTCAGTTTTAGTTACCGGTCATTTCGTACCCACGGTCGTTTCGTACCCAGTCGGTTGAGTCTTTTCATACCCAGCTCGGTCGTTTCGTACCCAAACTTATAAAGTGTGTTTTTTATGTTAAGAATGTTAAGACCATGTATGGTTGATTTCTTGTTCTGAATAAGAATATTACCTGCGTTAAATGAGCTTTGTTAACGTGGTGCCCAATTTTTAGGCGCGACCAACGGGTGTGTCGAATTTACATAACCAACTTAGTTGATAAAACCAAATCACCGAGTGTAAGGCCTGGAACCGAAATTAAGGGGTCTGGGAGTCATAGGACAGAAGGGAATAGTATTTGTAACAGAATTATTTTATTTTTATTCCGTCCTAAATCAACAGACATTACAACCTAATACTTATGTCTATTTTTTGATAGAGTAAACGAATTACCGTTAATAACAATGGGAGCGAAAAAATCTCACTTTCACTCGCTGTTATTGTTAGAAAAGTCACAAGTACACACAATAGCATGAGGTATGAGAATTAATGTATATTGGGAGGCGTAGAAATCCTTTCATTCACCTCCTTGAAACACGTTCGGTGAAAAAATATTCAAATGTATCTTTTTTTAAATTTGGAGTAAAAAAGCAGAACTCAGAGAGTGGTCATGCAAACTTATCGTTGTGAAAAAAAAGAAACAAACAAACAAACAAAAAAAAAAACACAGAGCACAGGAACAAGAGCATCGCCCCATTCATGATCAGTGAACCTCGCGATCGCTGACATCATTATTATTGTCTTTAGATAACCAGTCGTTCTCGCAGCCAACTTTACTTCCTCCAAGCTCAACATGCGTAAAAGTCACTCAAGTGAATTTGGTCGGGATTTATCAACGGCCCTGTTGTTATCGATCTCATTGCTAACTTGACTATAATGGGTCTGGTAATGCATTCTGCCATAAGCAAGGTCAGCAACAAGTTAAAAATCCCCAGACGCAAAATGGCCCGCATCATTCCTCTTACGTAGGCGTGATGGCCATGATTCCACCGTCGCTGGGCTGAAACGAATTCGTCGCAGGCGCCTTCGTCATCAGCTACTGTCCGAAGTGGTCGCCTGAAACATGGGCTGGAGCTGGGTACAATATGTTGTTAGTTTTCGTCGGCTTTGTTCTGCTATTAAGCGTCATCACTATTCTTATTACAGAATATATAGGTCAGTGAACTTTCTTCACCAGTAGTGAAGATGAAAGAGGAGAATAGGGGCAGTTATTATTCTCAGTCCATTTTCCTTGCATTGGATTCGACAAGTGAGTTATATTAAGCCGTACGACGACTTTAAGTTGTTCTTTGGAAAACTACTCGATTCCATCGGGTTAAGTCCACACTGTGAATCAAACTTTGAAGAAAATATCGTGAGTATTAAGTAAAAAACACTTAAAAAATAAATAAACATACAAACAAGCTACCTAGAGTGCGGGAAAATGCTAGTCACAAAGTCGTCATCGGCTTTGATTCGGCATCTAATCGGTTAGCCAGTTACAAATCCAAAGCAATCCAAAATTATTTTGGACACTCATTTAAAATTGCTCTAAGGAACTCGTTTTATTGGCCGGTTTATTCAAGCACAGCAACCAATAATTGGAAGCCCTTCAATTCAAGTTAGCAGAAGAAAATCCGAAATCAAAGTCGTACGCATGATTCTATGTCAATTGCAGCCTTCCTCGTGAGCTGGTCTCTGAACGCTATCGTCAGCATCATGACCACCATTCGGGGTTCTAAAGTATTGACACATGACTTAACAGAAGGCCCAGATTTACTAGCTAAGGCCTGGGTTATCTACAATCCCAACGTATGCTCAGAAATGAACGACAGATTCCGCAAAACACCGATGCGTATCGTCCCAATTCGTTGCATCATGCACAGATCACCAAATAAGTTGGGAAAATTAACATCGCTCACGGTGGAATCACGCCTCAAGCATGCGTATACGGTACCGGATCTGTCGAGGAAAAAACCAAACGTGTGGTGTGTTCAGGAGGTAACTTCTGTGATAATGAACACTCATAAAAAGCTTCCCTCAACAAACGGTGGCCAGTTCCTGTTTGAAATCGGAGCTGAAGTCGTGGTTGATAGTGCGCCAGACTTCAGTTTGTTCATAAGAAACTGCATTGCGAACATGTGTACTTTCCCTCATTTAAATTAGCCTGTATAAATCATTTATCATCCTTACAAAATCTCTTACTTTAAACACACGGTCAATGCAACTATGGCGAAGACTAAGGGAAGACAAGCGAAGCTCTGAAGACCAAAAGTGCGGTGAAGTTCAGGTAAGTACCTTTAGTGACGCTCGTCAAAAGGTTCTCTCTATAGGCGGTAGCCACTCGCAATTTTGAAGTCGGAGCTGAAGACATCAAATGGCTGATAGTATGCCAGACTTCAGTTTGATAGGTAACAAATTGCATTGCCAACACCTATACTTTTCTTTCATTGGCCTGTATAAAAATTAAACATTCCTATCAGTCGGCGTAAGGTAACGATAACGAGGAAAAAGGGAAGACGAGTGAAGTTATTGAGACGAATACTGCGTACGACACAGCATACGAGGAGTGCCAACAAAACTTTTTTGGCACCAAATAGTCGAACAGTACGTAATCCACCGCTTCTTAAGTGGCGATTAGGAATGTATCGTATCCACGAAAATTTTAACAATATCGTATCAGTCGGGATTTGCGTAAGGTTTAACGATGGCGAGAGACTAAAAAACATGCAAATAAGGAAGACAAGAATAGCATAAATTAGAATGAACGGCTTAAACAAACACCTTGATGGACGAATACGCATGCGAATATACAACATTTCATTAACAAGCATCAAATTTGCGTTACATTTCGGATGACGTTGAATTGCTCGATCAAGCATTCAGGCATTTCACTATTGTGCTGGAGGTGGTAGTGTTTGTAGATAGAAGATGATTTCCTTGTGTGCCCTTCTACGCGCTCGTGTAAGTGACCACGAATAGTCGAACACAGTACGTAATCCGATACATTGTTGGTTAACAATAGCTTAATTTCGTGCTTCTTAAGTGGCGATTAGGAATGTATCGAATTTTAGGGGTTGTCTATCCACGAGGAGGCTCTCCGTTGGTTGCCAGACTAGTTTGGTTTCAATTTTACGATCAATATCGTAGTTGAAAAAAAAAACCATACTTCATAAATAGTCTATGAAATTGAAGTCAGGCAGAGAGAGAGAAGAAAAAAAAAAGAGAAAAGTGAAAAAAATATTCATATTGCAGGCAGCCCTGTGAGGTCTT